TCTTATTAGTGAGGAGAAAACATTTCTGCCCATAGTGCAACAGAAAAGTGATACTTGTTTTGGGTGCACGGCTAACAAACTGTGTCACACTAAACGGTTTGCAAAAGCATGCATGGCTCTGATTCTGCAAATCACTTCAAACCACTGAAGCCATCCATCACTTGAAGTCAGTGGGCTCCACAAATGTACAAATCTGTATGTTGGATCTCACCCTGTGTTTGTAACATGACCAGAATGTTTTCCCATTCAGAATGTCCTACCGTATTCTGAAGATTTGGGTGTCCAAATAATGCTCTTCAACAACAGTAGATCACTTTTCTAGAGTTAGTAATTATTCTATTATTTATTCCTGTTCCCATTGACGACAATCACAACTTTATCAGTGACTTCTCTGCGCCCAAATCAGGGCTTTAATCCATTTAGTAGGGACTATGTGTGTTCTGTATTTTCCCCCCAACCATTTATTTTTGGAAGATCCAGAGAGGGCTGAAGTGGGTGGCAGAGTCCCAGATGGAGATGTGTCTGGATATTTAACAAACCACAGACAAATACGGAGAGGAGGGGAAAGGTGACTCCTGGCTGAGGAGTTTGTAATGTTTTGGCCGGAGAGAAGATAGTTTAGGGGAAAGGGCTTGGAGCATTTCCCTTATAACTACATCAGGGCGCATGCAGAGCCCACACTGGGAATTCGCGCTACTTTCTTGCCCCCAAAGCCACCGGCCAAAAAGGGGTTTGTTGCAGATCTTTTCTGCGCTATCGCAGCTCCCCACTCGCTTGTTCCGATCGCACCTAAGGGCAAGGGTCCCTGAAGAGACAAAAGTCCCTTCCTTTGGGGCAGCTCGGTGCTAGGGCAGAGCTTCCCAATCCAGCCTCCATGGGAGACAGTCGCCCAGGGGCGCCAGGGAAGGGGGTGAAGCGGATGAGAAAAGCCGAGCTCTTACCCGTACAGGAGTGCAGAGGTTTGGGTCTGACGATGAGGGACGGGCAGACAGAGTAAAGGGAAAGTTTCTCAAAGTAATCGCAGGTCTCCTTGGAGAGGATCTCATCGATCATGAAAGTCTTGTAGCGCCTCCTGGCTGCCTTCAGCTGCCCGGGGGACGCGAGCCCAGGGCAGTGCATGGTGGAAGCCGCCGCCGGCCCGGGCTCGGCCCCCTTCCCAGCGAGCGGCGGAGGCTGTAGCACGCCCAAGGAGCGGGCTCTCCCTTTCTAGGGGGCGGGGAGGGGGGCAGGAGAGGGTCCCAGAAAGGTGGCTCCCCCTGCGCCAGGCGTGGTCCCTGCGCCTTGCCCCCTGCGCGCCTGGCTTGGCCGGGCCGAGCGCTCTCCAGCGTGCGCCCGCGCGGTGCTATATAAACCTCCCGATAAGCAGCTCCGAGAGCCCTTTTTAGGACACTGCGCCTGTCAATCAGGGCAGCCTCTGGCTCGCATCTCCCTGCGCGTCGCTTCCCCCAGCTCGCGGCGGGGAGGTGCCCGGGCGCGCGCGCTCTATTTTAAGCCACCGGGGTGTGTTTTTCCTTCTGCTTCGCCTCGCAACGCTGGAAAGTTTCCAGGGCGACTCCCCCCACTCCGAACTGCAATTAGTTTCAGGCTTGAAAATCCAAGTAGCAATGTGGTCCATCAGGAAGTGATTAAGGACTTTGGAACATTTGCATCGAGAGAGCAAACACACCGCTCCGAAATGGGTGGCAAATAGAGAAGCTGCCGTTGCTTCAGAGCAATTCACAGCCTCCTCTTTCTCTCCCTTTGCACGAGCTGTCCCTAAGAAATACTCGTGCGCGGGCATATACTTGTGGGTATATATTTGTGCACACACCAATCCACAAATGGGTATTTCTCTACAGGCGTTCCGTGTACAGGCACAGAAAATGAAGTGTTCTGAAACTAATAAACCTTTTATAATGGCAAAACAATTAAGGAATTTGCTGGGTTTGTTGCTAAGGGCTGAGGAAAACTATACTGAGGTGTATTGCTCACAGTAAACACTTTCTTCACTAATGCTTTTTGGGTTGTTTTCACAACCGCACTAGATGAATTTCTGACTATTTTCTCTCGGCTATTTGCTGGATCACTTTATGATTTTTGCAAAGGCAGTTTCCCTCCGTAACAAGCACTGAACACCTCCTGCTCACACCGATTAAAGTTGGAAAGAAATTCTTGGCAAATAGTGTCACTTTCATTGCCTGCAAGTGTTTTGAGGAAATGATTATTTTTTAATGTTCCATAATTGTTCTTCTTAGGTGCTGCGGCACATTTTCTCGTCTTCTGTTAAGCAATCGCGTGTCAATTAGTTTAATTCTGAAGATTCTTAATGTTTCTTTGTTCTTTAACTTCAAGCGCCTCTGGGCTTTCCTGCAATTTTCCTGCGCGTTTCAAGAAGCCAAACCTTTCTTGATTATTTTGCTCTGTTTTTCATTTCTGTGGCTTATGTTCACATTGTGTCAATTCTTCCCGATTTGCGGGAAGAATCGTTCGTCAGGTATGAATTTTAGAAATGATCCAACGCCTCCATTTGAACCGGAATATTTCCGCACCAGAATTATTTGAATGACTTTTGACATCAGTCGTTGAGTCTCGTCTGTCCTTCATTAAGTTCTGTGAATCGACTATATGGTGCAAACGATTGTTTAATTAATTGTTAATTAACTAGGCAAGTAGCTATACACTCAATTTTTCTAATAGTTTATTATAAGATATAACCAACACATTAATATCGTCTGCAAAACTATATTGCTCACGTTCTTTTCAAGATAATATTGACCCATACGATAACAACCCATATATTTTAATTTTAGAACGTTGAGAAATTATAAAGTTCGTGTTTGTTTTTAAGTATTGTGTTTTGAATGAGAAAAAATATTCTTTGTCTTTAGTATGGAGTTTGTTGTTGTAGATCCCGTTAAAAGAAACCTATATGGGAATCCTTTTAACTGGCTTCCGTATTTGATCAATATTTCCTTTTCTGTTGCAAAAATTGTTTGGTTTTACGATCTGTCTTGAGAACCATAAAAAGAATATGTTTGTGTCTTTTCTAAACACGGTCAAAAACTAAAATAGTGTGTTCAGAGAAACAGGGAATTTTATGCTTTTTTCAACTACAGAGCAATTGGTTTTACATTTTTTAAAACAAAAACTAAACAGCTTTTTTATAAATCAGAGAGAACATCAATAATCTTGTTCATTAAAAGTAATTAGGAAAGCATCGATATTTAAAATCAATAATATTTTATTTACTATACTTGGAATATACTGTGTTCTTTTTGCTGCTAAGAAATTAAAGCTGATTATCGTAAGCAGGAATTTAATTAAAATGGGGTTCAAAGAAACAGGTGTCCCGATACTCTTAGTTATTTTATTTGTAAATTGAACTGTAGTTTACATTGCTAAAGCACCCCCAAAATATCTTGAGAGATTTGAGCATTTGATTGCAATGTTAGCCGATTTTAATTGGAAAAGAAGCAGGTTTTAATAACTACCTTTCGACGCAACCGATTACACGGATAATGATTATTTCGAGGAACTAAAATATCTACCGGTAACTCAAACTGTCATCGTAAATAAATAGCGAACGCTTGCTGACGATACATAAATACACAACGTTGTGAAGAAGTCGGGGTTTGACTCCTGAAACGGGAGGGGGGGAACCTTCATTCTGACAGGAGATGGGGTCGCTCGGCTGCCTTGTATTTCAGTGTTGCTAGTAGCTGGAGATGCTAATTTCAGGGCGCAAGGCAGATGCTGGGAGGGGAACAGCCTTGCATGAAAGGGACTCGCTGCAGCGCAGAAATCGATGTCCATGGAGCTGTGCTGTTTCGCACACACTTGGCTAACGGACCCGGGTCTCTTATTGCCTGCTTATTTCACTCCTGCCTCAGAAGTCTGGTTTCTAGCTGACACTTGAGCAGGTTCTCAGCGGCCACGCTGGGAGCCGCAAACCCCCCTGTAGAGCCAGGCAGCGCTGACTTGGCAGATGGGATCCGTTCTCTCAAGCGCCCAAAGGAACTTGTTTTAATAATGAGAATTGAAAAAAGCAAAGCAAAGACAGAAAGGCTAGACTGAGCAATAAGATGGGCTCTGTCAAGTGACACACACGCTGGCCGTCAATCATAACGGGAGCGCTTTGGTCAGGAATAATCGGGGGTTTTGTTTCCAACATTAATGAAGTGGCTGGAAAAGCAAACATCTGCCAAGGAGACTCAAACCCCTCACAGCTGTTGGAGCCACCAAGCCTCTCTCCAAGCAGGGCTGCCTGGCTGGTAGCTGCTTCTCCCCTCTGGTTGCCTCACTCTCAAGAAATGGGATGAGTGGGGGTGGGGAGGAGGGAGAATGAAGGTGAAGTTCATGCCATTGTGTGGGAGGGAGATGGCTGTAATGTGAGGGGGGCAGGGAGTACTCTACAAAGGGCAGATCAGCTTGAGCTATAAGAACTGGCTGGGACTTCCCTGTGTGTGTGTCACACACTAGGTCCCAGACCCCATTGTCTCCCACAGAAATTATGTGCAAGGACAGAATCAGAATCAGGGATGAAACTGGCAAGAATCTAAGCAAGTCCAAGAGCTTAGGGTCTGTATCGATGAAGACGAGAAGAGCTCATCCCCAGTGACAGGGGAACAAAAGCAAACTGTGCAAATAACAGTCACTCACCCATGGAAAGAGGCTTTCATGGAGAGAGAGTGGGTAGGGTCAGGGAGTGGCCTTGTGCTTTGGCCTGCAGGAGACTTGAGTTCTGTCTCCAGCTCTGGGGCTGGTTTGTTATCTGACTCTATCTGATCGTAGCGCATTTTGGACTTGACTCCCTGAGTCTTCATTTACACCTCTGCAGAGCAGGCATCAAATGAGTTCCAAGGGAGCACTTTTCAGCAGTAGATCTCACCGCAGTTGGCAAAGGAGGTCAGCACTGATAGCCCCATTTTACAGATTTTACAATAAAATACAATGGACTGGATTCATTGCGCTGCTGTGAATGAGTGCAGGAGGTGTGGGCCCTGAGAACAAGTAACTCCAGCACTGTTGGACGTATCCTGCGCACTGGAGCTCAGAGAAGGGTTAGAAGTGGTGGTCTGTCTTCTCTAGCTTTTCCCCTATTTGCTAACCCAGATGGAATGGCCCTGGGGAAAAGGTTCTTTTCTCACTGCCCCTGACACACCTATCTGTGACTAATGATGGGAATTTAGTCCCAAAGAGCCACTCAAAGTAGTTCCCTTCACCAGCACTAAATCCATACAGGGAGAGGACACTCCGAAAGGCAAATACCATTTTGCCTCCTGAGCCTTAAAACCCCTCAGTTTTTGCTCTGTGCTCTTGTCACTCTTCCATGGGCATCTTTCAGAAGACCCCAGGCTGCTGTTTTTAAGTCTCTAGATGCATTTCTCTCAATCTATTTTCAGTTCAACTCCTTTGGGCGGGGGGGAAGGGACAGATGCATCAGTTTACAGAATTATGATTTCTGGGATGTTTTCTTTTCAGCATGTTTCTTAAAGCCTAGGGCTGTGTCCAGACTCAGGGTTTTTTTCGAAAAAAGTATACTTTTTTGAAAAAACTTCACCTGCGTCTAGACTGCAGCAGCGTTCTTTCGAAATTAAATCGAAAGAACGTGGCTTTTCTTTCGACGGCGGTAAACCTCATTTCACGAGGAAGAACGCCTTTTTTCGAAAGTGCTCTTTCGAAAAAAGGCGCTCTTGAATGCCAACAGGGCTTTTTAGAGAGAGAGCAGCCAGACTCACTCGCTGCTTTCTTTCGAAAAAGCGGCTTGCTTTTTCAAAAGTACTGCTTGCAGTCTAGACGCTCTTTTTTGAAAGAGGCTTTTTCGAAAGATGCTTTCGAAAAAGTCTCTTTCGAAAGAGGCTTGCAGTCTAGACATAGCCTAGGAGGCGGTACAGCGAACAGGAGGAAGGTTATCTCAATGTGTGGCTGGTGGGGCAAATGGTTGGGTGGGCAAACCCTAGCAAATTGCTGTATTTGCACCTGGCTTTGAATGTTATGGATTCAGCTCATCTGTTGGCTTCACTCCCCCCTTCTTGCACTGTGCTCAGGGAGGTCAGAAGGAGGATTTGCCTTACACAATGTGTCTAGACTGGCAAGTTTTTCTGGAAAATCAGCAGCTTTTCCAGAAATACTTGCCAGCTCTCTACACTGGCCACTTGAATTTCTGGAAAAGCACTGACGATCTCATGTAAGATCATCTGTGCTTTTCCGGAAATACTATGCTGCTCCCGTTCGGGCAAAAGTCTTTTTCTGAAAGACTTTTGCGCAAGAGGGCCAGTGTAGACAGCACAGTACTGTTTCCGCAAAAAAGCCCCGATCGCGAAAATGGTGATCGGGGCTTTTTTGCGGAAAGCCGCGTCGAGATTGGCCACGGAGGCTTTTCCGCAAAAAGTGCTTTTGCGGAAAAGCATCCTGCCAATCTAGACATGCTTTTCCAAAAATGCTTTTAACGGAAAAGTT